GAAAGAAAGAAAGAAAGAAAGAAAGAAAGAAAGAAAGAAAGAAAGAAGGCAGGCTGGGCAATGTTTGTGCACACTTTTAATCCCAGCACTTGGGAGGAAAAGGCAGGTGGTTCTCTGTGAGTATGAGGCCAGCCTGGTCTACAGAGCAAGTTCCAGGACAGGTTCCAAAGCTACACAGAGAAAGGGTCTTGAAAACAAACAAACAAAAAGAGAAAAGAAAAAGAACCTATGTTTCATTCCTCTGCGAGTAGAAATCTAGTTAGTTTTGCCTGCACCATTTGTTAAATCTTTTTCCAATGTAAAGTAAGCACGGGTTTACTCTAATTTCAGGACCTCTGTTAGACTCCACTTTGTTCTTGTCTATTGTATGCCAGTATCAAACTGTATAATTATAGTTCTGGAGTATAATTTGAGGATTCTTATTGTAATACCTACAGTATTGTTCTTACTCTTTAGGGTTTCTTTGTCTATTCATAATCTTTGCTGATTCCATATGAAATCTTGTATTATTTTTTTTCTGAGCCTGTGACATATGACATAGGAATGTTGACAGGGGTCCAGAGAGAGACAGCTCAGAGGTTAAGGAATGTTAACAGGTAATTGTATTAATCTTGTAAATTAATTTTGGCAGTATGGCCATTTCCCCAGTATTAATTTTGTCAATCTAGAAGCATGGAATATCTTTTCATCATCTGGTATCTTCTATGACTTCCTTTTTCAATATCTTGATATTTTTTGATATAGAAGTCTTTCATTTCTTTTGTTACAAGTATTCCAAAATACTTAAATTTTGGGTAATTTTGAATGGAATATAAAAATAAAAAGAAGACATGGTTGGGTGTGGTGGTACACACCTTTAATGCCAGCTCTCAGGAGGCAGAGACAGGCAGATAACTGTGAGTTCTAGGCCAGCCAGATCTACATAGTGAGTTTCAGATCTGACAGGGCTACACAGTGAGATACTGTCTCAACAAAACAAAAGGAGTACATGAAGTTGGGAGGAAACGTGGTAGAAGAATATAGTAGTTAGAAGGGAGGAAGTTGGAAGTAAATACGACCAAGATGTTATTTCTGGGTTTCAAGATATGGGCATCTTCTTGTTTATCTAGAACTCAAGAGGTTCTAGAGGGCTGAGATGGAGGAAATCTTTTACCTATTCAATTAGAAGGTAATGTTTCAAAACTCTTGGCTCTGGGTTATTGCTAAACATATCTTAGTAACTTTGATACAGCAATATAATTACCATGTATGTGTATATATGCATTCGCTAAGATTTTAGATCTCTTTCAAAGACAAATAAATACTCATATTATCCCTCTCCACCTCTCTCTCTCTCTCTCTCTCTCTCTCTCTCTTTCTCTCTCTCTCTCTCTCTCACACACACACACACACACACACACAAATATAGGTATTTATTTACTTTGCCAAAAACACTGAAAAAGTATTTAAGGTAAGAGAAAAAAGATTTTGTAAACCCAGAACTATTCCTATACTATATAAAATTATTATAGCTGACTGTAAAGCAATTGAATGAGTCAGGCAGAACCCACCTGTATTAGTCAGGGTTCTCTAGAGGAGTAGAACTGAGAGACAGAATCTCTATGCATATAGAATATATTTTATTAGAGTAGATTATGGGCTGTGGTCCAGCTAGTCCAACAATGGCTGTCTACCAATGGGAGATCCAAGAATATGGTAGCTGTTCAGTCCACGAGGTTGGATGTCTCAGCTGGTCATCAGTGTATGTTCAAATCCCAAAGAAGTAGACTGTAATGACAGGGAAGGAATGCACTTGCAAGCAAGGATAGAGCAAGGAAACAAAGAGTAAAAGCTTCCTTCTTTCATGTCCTTATATAGGCGACCAGCAAAAGGTATGACCTGGATTATCTTCCCAGCTCAAAAGATCCAGATTAAAAGTGCCTCTCCCCACTTCAAATGATTTAATTGGGAAAAAAATCCCTCACAGGTGTACCTAGCCAGTTGGGTTTTAGTTAATTCCAGATGGGGTCAAGTTGATAACCAAGTGTAGCCATCACACCACCCACCACCTCGTATTAGCAGCAAAGCTGGAATGTGAAAGCTTCATTCCTTGTGCCTCAATGCAATAAATCTAAGTGCGTTAGCTGATACAGAAACATTTTGTCTGCTTGAGTGAGTGGATATACAGGTTTTCCATTTTTATTTCTCATAAAGTGCTTCAGTAGTGGTCCTCAATGGAAGCACAAAGCAGTCAGAATCCAGGACGTCACAATTTCTAAGAGCTTGGATCATAAGCACTTGTCTTTACTGGGTTTGACCAACATAATAGCATGAACCAAAAGGAAAATATGCAGATGCAGAGCCACAGGTCATTGACCTGGGAGGTTAATTATGCTTTGAAATTCTAGGTAATACAACCGTGGAGATTCTGGCACTTTGTCTTCTTAACTAAGTCATGTTCTATCAGAGGAGACACAAGGAGCCAGTCTGTGTGTGTGGGGTGTCTACAGAAGTGGGTCCGCTCCATCTTGACTGAAGGTCAGAGAGTGTAGGCCTACTCTTGCTCTTTCAAAGTTATTGACAGGAGTGGCTACTTAAGGAGTGGCTACAAACAAAATACCCTGACCTAGGGTGTGGTTACTTGGTGTTTTGGATGCAAGATAGCCCGTGAAGGTGGAACTGCTTCACCTTGACCAAAGGGCAGAGAATTCAAGCCTATTCATGCTTCTTCAAGGATGCAACAGGAGGTTTGGCTTAGGGAGTGGCTGCCCACTAAAGTATGGTTGTTCAAGTACTGTCTAAACAACAGAATACTTAACTAAAGACTATAGTCGATTGATGTTTCAAGTACAGTAATTGTTATGTTTGTCCTTTGTGTTATGTTAAAGCAGGCTTTTGCCTTCTTTCCCCTTTTGGATTGGGGTATATAAGCATATGGAAAATAAACATGGGCATACTCAGTATTCACTGGATAGCCTTCCCGGTTCTTTCTGTTCATATCTGTTCCTCCTACCTACATTTTCTAATCTACACACCCCTACTCTGAAAGGTGCGAGTGTGAACCCCATCGAGGCTGGACTCGAACAGATGTTGCCCCAAAGTGTGGTTACAAGTCTGTTATAGCCCTTTTCTGATTGTGAGCCTCTGCCTGATAGGCGATGAAGTTCCAGTCACCTTCCCAAGTCTCACGAGCATGCCATGTAATAGTCGCTTTTTGTAACCTTCCAAACATCACATTTTCAAGTGTTTTTCTTGCATCTAGTATGTTTTCAGTTCTGATTTTGAAAATACAAAAAAAATTGAAATTATTTGAAAGAGCAGAAAGACCAGGAAAAGATCGAAATGAAGAATGGCAAACTGTTTTAAAAGAAAGATAAAGAGACAGATGGCTCATTAGGAAAAAAAGGTTTCTGTCTACATCTCTCATACCTAACCAAACAGTCTAAAAACACGCTCGGTGTAACTCTCAAGCCAGCTCTGCCTAATTTCACTTTTTCTACTTAAGAGGGCAAACAAGGTCATGTAAAGAATAAGGGTAAAAGTCAACTAGATGAATGCAAAGTATCACACCAGGAGACACAGATGACTCATTCAGGTTTACTTTTTTTGCAATAAAGATTTATTGAAGCCTCCCACATTCCATGCATTGTTAATTCAAAAGATATAATAATAGGCAACAAGGCATGATTCTTGTACTTATGGAGCATACAGATATACAGCAAAAGAGAGATTTTAATCCGTTACCCCAAGGGTTATATAATTGTGTGACAGGTACATCTCTTATATTAGTAAGGATTCTCTAGAGAAGCAGAATCAAAGAATGAGTATATATTGTGAAAAGGGATTGGCTTACATGATATGGGCCAGTTAGTCCAATATGGCTGTCTGGATGCTGGAGAGCTTGAGAATCCAGTAGTTGCTCAGTCCACAAGGTCAGGTGCCTCCACATTCCCAATCTGGTCCTGAAGCCTGGAGGATTCTTGGAGAGTGTTAGTCTTCAGTTTGTTAGAAGGCTGAAGAAGATGGGTTCTGAAGTCAGTGAAGGTGATAGCAGCAGCAACAGCAACACAGTAGTAGATATACTGACCAGCAAGGTGCAAAGGCAGACAAGCAACAGCAGCACTACTTTTCTCTGGGACACTACTGGAAAGTGACGCCCACTCTGGAACAATGAGGAGTCATATTGCTTAGCTGATTACAGAGCCAATCAAGTTGACAGCCAACACTATTAGTTTCCAGTCCCATAATTCAGAAATTATCATGGTTCATTTCAACTGACAAGTAAGAAACATCTGAGGTATCTGTCAATAAAGCATACCTTCCAGTGCCTGAGGGTTTTTCCAGAGAAGAGTCAGAAAGAAGGGGAAGACTGTCTCTGAACTTGTGTGGCATCTTCCATGGCCTGGAGTCCTGACCCAAATAAAAAGGGGAAGAGGAGAAGCCAACTGATCTCTGGCATCTTTCATGACTTCCCAGGATGTGAGCAGGCAGGCTTCTGTTGTCAAAGACAGGAACTGATGCTGTTGTCCTCCTGGACTTCATGGTACCCTGAACTGGGAATCAAAATAAACCTTTCCTCCCTTAGGTTACATCTTGCCAGGAATTTGGTCATAACAATGAGAAGAGTAAGAAACTTCATTATCTTTTTACTTTCTTTCAGTTAAGAAAATCTGCATATTTGGTGTCAGAAATGTTAGGAGTGAACATTGCAGGAGTAAAGTAACCTACATAGTGGCTAAATTTCTCCATTTAACTTGAAGTAGTAAAATACTGCCTCCATATAGACTGTGAAAATGAATTATATATAGTAAGATTCTAAATACCTTTTACACACCCATCTTATAGTGACAGGACAGTTGATACAAAGCAATAGTTAAAATATCCATACCACATTCCAGCATGCATTCCCTATCCCACTCAACACCACACAGAATTGTAGACCATTCAACTTTCTTTCCAGATTCTTTTTTATAACATGATCTTATGTAAAAACCTGTATGACCCTTCGCCATTAAGATCTTTAGGGGTGGGGGCTGGAGAGATGGCTCAGTGGCTAAGAGTACTGACTGCTCTTCCAGAGAACCTAGGCTCAATTCCCAGCACCACCCTTGGAGTTAACAAGTCTGGTTCCAGGGAGTATGACACCTTCATACAAATGCACATAAAATAAAGCTAAATAAATTATATATATTAAAAATATCTTTGGGGGGATGATCATGTGCTTGTTTTTAAAATTGGTGAATTTGAAGGGTTTGTATATAATTCCAGTAGAGATACTTAGAGAAACTATGTGAGCACTTGCACAGGCAGATGATGAAAGCAAGTTGGAAGGCTTCATATACAATGGAATTTAAAGACTTTGAGTTTGTCTATGCAGAATATACAGTGAAAGGAAAATAAATAAGCTTTTTTGTAAACTGTCTTAGTTAGGGTTTCTGTTGCTGTGATTAAAGACCATGACCACAAACAACTTGATGAGGAAAGGGTTTACTTCCTTTTCACTTTTACATCACAGCCCAGCACTGAAGGAAGTTAGGGCAGAAACTCAAGACAGGAATCTAGAGGCAGGAGCTGATGTAGAGTCCACGGAGGAGAGCTGCTTACTGGCATGTTCCCTGTGGCTTGCTCAGCCTGCTTTCTTATAGCAGCAGGACCACCATCCCAGGTGTGGTTCTTCCCACATCAATCATTCATCAAGAAAATGCACCACAGGTTTGTCCATAGGCCAACCTCAATTCTCAATAGAGGTTTCCTCATGTCAAGTGGCTGTAGCTTTTATCAACTTGAGAAGAAACTAGACACTAGCCCAAGAGGCAGGGATGGGGAGATAAAGGAAGAGAGTGTTCTAAAAAAGGGATTAAGAAAACAGTGCCAAGTATTGTCTTCATAGTCAAGAAAGATGAGTAGAGAATGTGTCCATTGGCTTTGTAACATGGCGTTAATAAGAGCTGTTTTGGTAGAATGATGAGGAGAGACAGCAGATTGGAACAGGCTAAGAAGTGAATGGGAGCTTAACAAAGTTTGGCTATAAAAAGAAGAGTTAAGATAGTCCTTAGGGAAGACAGTGAAATCTAAGTAAATCTTTTACCCCAGAGATGGGAAAGACTTAAGTAGGTGCTCCAGGGAGAAACAGAGCTTTTCTTACACTGATGACTATGCAGGAGACCCTCTCCGTGTAGGCCCACAAAAGGAAATGCTATTCTACAGTATGACGTTAATTACATGACATTTTTCAAAAGAAACTGTTGATGCTAGAGAACTGAGCAGGAGCTATGGAAGAAGGAATGACCAGATGGAGGGGTTGCCTAGAGGAAACCATCCTGTATGATAATGTTCTTATATATTTGTCAAAGCTCATATATTATACAAAACAGTGAATCCTAGTTTATCACTGTCAGCTCTTGGATTTCAATAAATGTGCCATACATTGGCACACTGTTGTTGGTCGTGAAAACTAGAGGGCGTCCAGGATATCCAGGAACTCTGTCTTAGGGGGATTGTTAGATAAACCTAAAAGTACTGTGAAAAAAAAACTGTCTGCTTACAAAAATCTTTTACCAAATGCCGTATGACAGTTATTGTATGGTGTCCTCTCAGATTCTTCTCTATTAGTTTGTTGTCTCATCTGTAGCTCAAAACCTTTGGAGATGGTTTTCAGAGAAGTATAACATAAAAGTAAGGTGTGCTTGCAGTTTTATATCAACTTGACACAAGCTAGAATCATCTGGGAAAAGGGAACTTTAACTTAGAAAATGCCTTACCAGACTGGCCTGTGGTGAACTCCCATGACTGATGATTGATGTGGGAGGGCCCAGTTCAGTGGGGCAGGACCACCCCTTGGCTGGTCCTGGGTATTATGAGAAAAAAGACACAGCTAGTCCATAAGCAGCAGTCCACCCTGATCTGTGCATCAGCTTTCAGTTTCTTCCTGCTTCCTTACTGTTCCATGGGACTATAAACTGAAACAAACCCTTTCCTCTTCAAGTTACTGTCAGTCATAGTACTGGTCGTAGCAGCATTAAAGTTACTATAAAAGCAGGGGTCTCAACTCTTCCTAAAAACACAATGCAGTGATGTTGAGCCCATCCTATAACATCAAAGCAATAGTCACAAAAAGTCCCTTTTCTGGTATCTGTCCAACAGCAATTCAAGGACACGCAGGGAAGAAACCCTAGTAAGTACCATGAATAGGTCACTCAAGCACAGTGGTTGGCCTGGGACAACCAGTCAACTACCAAAGCCTGTCTTGCATAGTCTCTGAAAGTAATGATTCTCTGGACATATGTGGCCTTGTGTAGAATTACTTTCCATTCTGCAGTCCTTTGGAGCAAGCCATTTAAGCTGAAGCCACGCGTCGATATGTGCTCCTGGCAAGAACTACCATGCTGCTATGGCGCCCTCTATATCACAGAGATGGCAGGAACAAGCAGCAATATCTTCCATACACCAAGTTCTCCTCCCATATCCTAAATCTACTCCATGGCAAGATAAATGAACATATCTAGCCTACTGTGCCCTAAAATGTACATATTTCTCTCAGTTCTATAATTTTAAGAACATAACAATAAACTGTATGCTTTTATACCTCCTCAAATTACCTGTCCATCTTTTTCAGTGACTATTTCAACCAACTCATGATAAGAAATCTTGAATTAGCAACTGGTCATTTCGTCCAGATGTACATTTGAATTATTCAAGAGAAACTACCTTCCTAACTGAAAAATAAACACAATATCCCACCTTCTTTCCCCCTACTTATTGTAAAGGCTGAAACAGTGAGGCACCCAAAGGAACATTTTTCCTCTTACAGATTTAAGATTGCTATGTGGTCTATGCATACTGCAGTTGGCTAGTTCATTCCAGATATAGAATCTGTAGCAAAATTGACTTTATTATTATTATTATTATTATTATTACAACATCCATTCTCCAGTTTCTTTAGAGAAAAGCATGATATTTAATTTGGGGATTTCATTTACCTAATGAAAAGTTGACACTTCTTAATTTCATGACTAGATTCTGGCCAATGAGGTGGGAATGGTGTGAGTATGTGTGTGTGAGAGAGAGGAACGAGGGAGGTTGGGAGGGAGAGAGAGAGAAACTTACTGAAATTCTTAAACATTCTGCTCTGTGAAGGATGGACATGATAGCTACAGTTTAAATGGTGATATTGAACTATAAGGTTGTATTTTTGAAAAGAATATCAACCACGCGGTGGTAACACATGCCTTTAATCACAGCACTTGGGAGGCAGAGACAGGCAGTTCTCTGAGTTCGAGGCCAACCTGATCTACAGAGCGAGTTCCAAGACAGGCTCCCGAGCTACAGAGAAACTCTGTCTTGAAAGACAAAACATAAAAAAGAGTATCAAAGCACAGGAAACTTTGGAGATGGCTAACTAGGTTAAGTGGTGCTATGTAAGAAGAAGGCTTGAGTTCAGATCCTCAGCATTCATGTGAAAGCCAAGTGTAGTGCCAGTGTCTATAATTCTGAGCTGGGAATGGGAAGATGCAAGCAAATCCCAGGTGACTTGCTGGCCAGCCAGTGACACATCCTGTCTTAAATAGTAAGGTGGGGGCTATGTGAATGCATGGAGGTTGCTGACTACTAGTGAGGGGCCTGATGGAAGCATTTGTTGGATATATAAACTATAAATTTCAATGTTAAATCATTTGAAGTGGGAAGATCCACATGTACTCTGGGTCACACCTTCTGATGGAAGCCTATATAAGGACATGACTGCTTTTCTCGCTTTGCTGGTAAGTCTATTCTTTCACTGGTATTGGAGCCTATTTGGGATTCCAGCATATAATGAGAAAAGAAGAGTGAGACATTCAGCTACTGGATTATTAGACTGTCTGTTCATTGCCACCCTTCTTTGGCCAGCCAGACCACAGCCAGTAAGCCACTCTAATAAACACACATATACATATATATTAGATAGAGCTTCATTCTATCAATTCTGTTCCTCTATAGCAGTTCTCAACCTTCCAAAAGCTGTGACCACTTTATGTTGTGGTGAACCCTCAACCATAAAATGATTCACTGCGACTTCATATCTGCAATTTTTCTACTGTTATGAGTTATAATGTAAATATCTGATATTCAGGATATCTAGTATGCAACCCAAAGGTTGGGAGCCACTGTTCTAGAACAACAGAAGTGTAAGGATGATTTTTTTTTAAAAAGATTTATTTAGTGGGATGATGGTGGTGCACACCTTTAATCCCAGAATTTGGGAGGCAGAGAAAGTTGAATCTCTGAGTTCAAAGGCAGGCTGTTCTACAGAGTTCTAGGACAGCCAGGGTTACACAAAGGAACCCTGCCTTGAAAAACAAAAATAAATAATCTTTTAAAATTTATTTATGTACTTTATGCATATGGGTGTTTTGTCTGTATGTACATTTGTAAACCAGAAGAGGGCATTAGATCCCATGGGACAACAGCTTGTGAGCCACCATGTGGTTGCTGAGAATTGAACTCAGGACCTTTGGAAGAGCACCGAGTGATCTTAATTGCTGAGCCATCACTTCAGCTGCAAGATGAATTTTTTAAGATATCTAGAATAGGCTTTACTGAAGCCTCTCCTAGAAGCTCGTAGAGTACAGAGATGTGTGTGAACTATTTTACAAACTTACAGACAAATGCATTTGATTATCCTAATTTACTAACTGTGACAGGCAACTGATTTGGTGACTCTATATAAAACGTTTGACAATTTGTGAAAAATATGGAAAATGATGACACCGGTTGGTTGCTCTTAGCATCCCCGGATAAACTGACAAAGAAAAGAATGAGCTCCATGAAAAAATTAACCAATTTCTACCATCTCAGAATATTGTGAAGCACAACAGTGAATTCAGTGATAAAATCAACTGGTTCCAAATGCTCAGAAACGGTCTTATAAGGTTTCAAAATGTGCCCCGGAAGAGAATTTTTTCTCTAGCAGCCAGAGCTCAAGTTGTGAAAAATCAAACCAAGGTCCTCAGTATAAGATTGCTGAATTACAGCAAAAATTCAAATCTCAACCTTGGAGGGTGTCAGCAATTAAAGTAAGGGTACTGGTTAAAAATAGGAGTCTATAACTTGTGATGAGGACATGGGAAGACCCCACTGAAGTTGAGAATTCTAAATCCTTAGATACTCAAGGGTTTATCTCATCCAAGGAAGTAGTCCCTCCGTCCTCAGCAGAAGATGTACCTTCAGTCCACCCCCTGAAATACTGCCCTTTCTGCTTTGATTGAGGAAATCAATCCCGAGTAGTCCGCTAAACCAGCTGTGACTTTCTCTGAAGGTGATGGCAGGCAATACTGTTGTCCCTCAGGGCCCAGAAACAGTTGCCTTTAGACCTATAACCAGACTCAAGGCAAAGCAGGAGCCTAGAAAGGAGGTAGAAAGTGTAGTTCAGGAGGAGATGCACTATGCTACTAAAGGGCTTAATGAGTTTGCTATTTCATTCAAGCAGAAGTCTGGGGAATACATGTGGGAATGGATTCAAAGGGTGTGGGATAATGGTGAAAGGAACATAAAACTGGATCAGGCTGAGTTTTTTGATAAGGGGCTATTGAGTGGAGATTCCAGGTCTAATATGGAAACTTAAATTGTTAAAAAAAAAATGATGTCAACAGTTGATTGGTTGGCTGAAGCTTTTGTCAAGAGATGACCTAAGGAAAAGGAGTTGGAGGTGCCTGATATCCCTTGGTTTAATGTTGATGACAGGATTTTAAGACTCAGGGAAATTGCAATCGTAGTGTTGTTATGCTGTGTAAAATTCAATCTTCACAATGGGAAGAAGGCCCAGAAGACATGGCCTTCATGAATCCTGTATGATGCAAAACGGTGAGGGAGTACCAGAACATCTGAAGACCTTTGTTGTTGCCGTTTTCCTTGTGCCAGACCTTAGGGCTGGATATGCTGCTGCTCAGCTGAATGAATTAAATGCAATGAGTTTAGTTGCGCCCTGAAGTAGAAGGGGCCAGGTGGCAGTATTGAATTTCCAGAGACAATGTAATCATAGTTATATTGTAAGGACAGCATAGACAAAAAATGTCCATAATGGCCTGACCCATAATGTGCAACACAGGCAATGTGGTTTTTATGGAGGCATGACCCATAGGTACCTTTGGTACTGGCTTATCAATCATGGCATTTCCAGGCATGAAATAGATAAGCATGCTGCATTTTTTGTTTGATTTGTATAAGTGGGGAAAACTCTCAAACAAACGAGAAGGGTTCCATTGGATTGTGGCAAAAGGGAATCTCAGACCGTAACCCAATTTCCAGACTTGAGCAAGTTTGCAGACTCAGAATCCCTTGAATGAAGGGATAGGTTCTCCTGCGGTAAGAGTTGATAAATTCTGTTTGAGTTTAACTGTTAGCCGTTCTCCAGTCCTTTCCCAAATAACCTATGGCCTTCTACAAAGATAACTGTACAATGGGGGAAACAATCAGACTTTCCAGGATCTGTTGGATATTGATTCTGAATTGACAAATTCCGGGAGACCCCAAGAAACACTGTGGCACTCAAGTAAGGGATTGTGGAGGTCAGGTGATTGATTAATGAAGATTTGGTTGAAGTCAATCTTATAGTGGGTCCAAAGGTTTCCAGAACTCATCCTGTGGTTACTTCCTCGGTCTTATAATGTGTAATTGGCATAGATATACTTAGAAGTTGGCATTGGTTCCTTGACTGCGGAGTGAGGGTTATTAGAGTTGGAAAGGCTAAATGGAAGCCTTTAGAGTTGCCTCTGCCAGGGAAAATAGTGAATCAAAATTAATATGGCATTCCTGGAGGAACTGCAGATATCAGTGCATGATATCTTGCACTGATCCTGATCACCTGATGGTGATCAAGGACTTGAAAGATGTAGGGGCGGGGCGGGGGGGTGGTTCGCACCACATCTCCCTTTAACTCTCCTACCCGGCCAGTGCAGAAGACAGATGGATCATGGAGAATGACAGTTGACTGTTGAAAACTCAATCAGGTAGTGACTCCAATTGCAGCTGCTGTACCAGGTGTGGTGTCCTTACCTGAGCAGATTAACACATGTCCTGGTACATGTTCATAAGGACCACCAGAGGCAATCTGCTTTCCGTTGGCAAGGCCAGCAGTATAAAACTGCAAAGTTTTACCTCAAAGATATATTAACTCTCCAGCTGTGTCATAACTTAGTTCAAAGGGATCTTGATTGTCTATCTTTTCCACAAAGCATCACATTGGTTCAGCATATTGTTGACATTGTGCCAATTAGACCAAGTGAGCAGGAATAGAAAGTGCTTTGGAGTTGTTGGTAACAACTACATGCATCAGAGGATGGGAAATAATCCAACCAAAATTCAAGGGCCTTCTATCTCAGTGAAATTCTTTGGAGTGCAGCAGTATGGGACATGCAGAGATACTCCTTCTAAGGTGAAAAGGGTGGCCCCTCCCACCACCAAGAAAGAAGCACAACATTTACTGGGCCTATTTGGAATCTGGAGGCAGCACATTCCTGACTAGGGTGATTGTTACTCCGGCTCATATACCAAGTGACTTACAAAGCTGCTATCATTGTGTGTAGCCTGGAACAGAAGGCTCTTCAACAGGTCCAGGCTGCTGTGCAGGCTGCTCTAGCACTTGGGGCTTATGATCTGGCAGATCCGAAGGAATATGAGCATACTGGGATGCTGCTTGGAGCATTTGGCAGGCCCTTACAGGTGAATCACAGGAGAGACCTTTGGGATTTGGGAGCAATGCTCTGCCATCTGTGCAGACAACTCTTCTCCCTTTGAGAGACAGTTCTGCTATTTTTTCCTCAGTGGAAACTGAACATTTTAACAATGGGCCACCAAGTTACCATGAGACCTGAGCTGCCCAACATGAGCTGGGTGTTATCTGACCCACCAGGTCATGAAGTAGGATGTGCACAGCAGCAGTCTATTATCAAATGGAAGTGGTACGTATGTGATTGGGCCTGAGCAGATCCTGAACTCACAAACAAGTCACATGAAGACACTGCCCAAATGCCTATGGTTTCTACTCCTGCTACAATGCTGCCTACTGCCAAGCATGCACCTTTTAGCCTCATGGAATGTTCCTTAATATCAGTTGACCAAGGAAGAGAAGACAAAGGCCTGGTTTACTGATGACTCTGTACATTATGCAGGTACCACCCAGAAGGGGATAGCTGTAGTATTACAACCCCTTTCTGGGGCAACCCTGAAAGACACCAGTCAAGGGAAATCTTCACAGTTGACAGAACTTAAAGCAGCACACATGATCATACATTTTGTTTGGAAGGAGAAATGGCTAAATGTGTGATTGTTCATTGATTCATGGGTTGTAGCCAATGGATTGCCTGGATGGTCAGGGACTTGGAAAGAACATGATTGGAAAGTTGGTGAGAAAGACCTCTGGGGAAGAAATATGTGGACAGATCTTTGCAAATGGGAGAAGGATGTGAAGATACCTGTGTCCCATGTACATGCTCATCAAACGTGACTTCAGCAGAGGAGTTCAATAACAAAGTGGATAGGATGACCTCTTCTGTGGACACCAATTAAGAGAATATCAGTGGTTAATATATTTAAAAAGAATGTCCCTTAAGGGACATTGTCACCTATCCTAAAATTTATAATTCATTTGGGGTTGTATGAGGGATATAATGCTAGGCATAATTATGACCTGGTTAAATATATAATGCATTAACAATTGCATATGAGATAGTTTTATCATGTTAGGCATAATTATGACCTGGTTAAATATATAATGCATTAAAAATTATATATGAGATAGTTTTATCATGATAGGCATAATTATGATCTGGTTAGATATATAATGTATTAACAATTGTATATGAGATAGCTTTATCATGCTAGGCACAATTAGGACCTGGTTAATGTTTTCACTTGGAAATAAAGCATGGCATAAGGAGATGATTGTGTATCAAGTTGACAAGGGGTGGATTTTGACGGCTTATTTTTTGGTTGTTAACTTGACTCCATCTGGAATTAACTGGGTAAACCTATGAGGGATTTCTTTCTTTCTTTTGTTTTTGCTTTTTGTGACAGGGTTTATTTGTGTAGGCCTGGCTGACTTGGAACTCACTCTGTATGTAGACCAGGCTGGCCTCAAGCTCATAGAGACCTGCCTTGGTCTCCCGAGTGCTTGGATTAAAGGTATGCGCCACTACTGCCCAGTGGGGAATTTTTTTCTTAATTAAATCATTTGAAATGGCAAGACCCACTTTTAATTCAGATCTTCTGAGGTAGGAAGATCCACCTTTAATCTGGACTACGTCTTCTTCTGGCAGCCTATGCCAAGGACATGGAAGATGGAAGCTAGCTTTCTTGGCCTGCTTACTTTCCGTCAAAGAGTCACATTAAGACCCTTTAACCATCTATCACCATGCCTATGAGAAGTCATTTCCATTTTTCAGGAACTACTATTTTAAATATCTTCCTAATTCATTTTATTTCTACTCACTGTTTACTTGGTTGAAGACTTAGATGTGAATGTCTAGGCTTCATGTCACCTGAGTGAAGAGCGGTGTACTGGGTATGCAGCTATGTCTCTGTCCATGCCTGACACAGCACAATGCACTTCCCAACTTCTTTTTCAAGCTGGGTTCTCCTGCAGGTACTTAGTCTCAGACACCTCTATTAACCTCGTTGCTCAAGCTGAAAAACCTTGGCTTTTACCTGATTCTTGTTGGGCACGCCTCATTAAGAACTGCCTTTCGCTCTAAGAAAGTAGCTAGAATCCTTTGAATTTTCATTATTCTGGTCCAAAATTGCAAACTCTTATTTGTTACTATAAATGCCTACACTTCATTCCTTTCGATCTCCAGTTTGTTTTCTAGCAGAAATCATTTTTTGAAAGTATGATTATCAGTCCTCAGCCTAAAAATTTTCTAGTGGCTTTCCAACATTCATGGGAATAAACATCAAACTCTTCAGTCACCTAGCATGCAGTGGTGGTGCACGCCTTTATTCCCAGGACTCCAGGAGGCAGAGGCAGGTCCAAGTCTGTGAGCTCAAGGCCAGGATGGTCTACAGAGCTTATTCCAGGATAGCCAGGGCTGTTACACAGAGAAATCCTGTCTTGAAAAACAAAAAGAAAAGAAAGAAAGAAAGAAAGAAAGAAAGAAAGAAAGAAAGACAGACAGACAGACGGAGGGAGGGAAGAAGGAAGGAAGGAAGAGAACCCTGATACTCTCCTCTCTCACCCACTTTTACTTTCTATTTTATCTTATATGCTTGTGGACACACATGTGATGGTCACACATGAAGGTCAGAAAACAACTCTGTGGAGCCAGTTGGCTCCCTCTCCCTTTACCTGGGTTCTGGGGACTGAACTCAGGTTGCCAGGCTTGTTTGGGAAGCACATTTACCTGGTAGGACATCTTGCTTGCCCCCAATTTTAAAATAAAACTCACCATACCACCTCATCTAACTTCTCTCACCTCCCATTTAGTTACGTTAACCTTGCTGCTGCTCTTCTAGTATTTCAAGAATCCTCCCATACCATAGACCTTATACTTAATTATTCCCTCTGCCTGGATAAAACTTCTCTAATTCACATGGTTCATTAATTTTATTCATGTCTTTGTTCAAATATCATTTCATCAAAGAGCATCAAGGAGGCTAATTCTGTTTTCCCTAACGAAATGCATCCCTGTTATTCATTTCTGTCAACTCGAATGGACATAAGGTGTACAAATATATCATGTCCATGACCCTGTTGTTGTGTTAAAATAACAGCTGAATTAGTAGATTGAATAAAGCAGATTGGTTCTCTAATGTGGACGAGCCTCATCCAATGAAGATGAACAGAAAATACGGGATGATCCTTCTGGCAGCAAGAGACTGGCCTGACTGACCTAAGTGGGGATAGCCATCCTTTCTTTTCCTGTTTTATGCAACACTGGCTTTCTTGGGCCAGTATTTCCATTTGCCAGCATTTGGACTAGATCTTCCACCATCAATCCTGTTGTTTCCCTAGCTTTTGTATTAGACAGCAGGTTAGGTACTAGAGGCTCAAAGGACATTTATTTTGAACCCCCTCTTCATAGTCAACAACTTGGAAAATAAAAAATCCAGAAAAATTATCAGGATTTTACTAGTTTTCAGGAAAATTGGATCTGAGTCATATCCTTAACTGCATAAAAAGTTAAACAGAAAACTTTTTAAACTTGGTTCCAGGACCCCTAAACCTTATGCGATTACTGATAAAGAAGGATGTATCATTCCCCCTCTTGTAAGACATAAGCTGTGGCGGTTTGAATGAGAATGACCCTTATAGGCTCATGCTTCAATACTTAGTCCCCAGGTGGTGGAATTGCCAGGAAAGATTAGGAGGAGGTTCCTTTAGGCTCTCAGGTGCTGCTCCACTCAACATGCATGTTGCTTGCTGTCCATGCTGTCCTACCATGATAGTCATAAAGTCAAGAAAATAAGATGTTTCCTTCTATAAGTTACCTTGGTCATGTTATTTTATCACAGCAATGAAAAAGTAACTAATATATAACCCAAACAAGCCTGTCATTCGCTTGGACAGTACAAAGTCCCTCAGGAATAGACACTTAGTCTAGAGAAATATTTTAAAAAAATAGTATTTCATCCGCCTAAATTGCACATCAAGGCTCTGGTCTCCCTGGCCATTGTTTGTCCTTGCCCCATGACTGTATACTCTAATCTAACTTTGTCTGTCTTTGACACTACATTTTGTGTTTCGCCTGAATTCTTTTGATGGAGATCACAAGGGCCTGGGAGATAAAAAGAGTCCAGACCAAGATCTTTCATAGATGTGAACTCAGACTGAGACATAATGGGTTAGCTATTCTATGTGTCTCATTTGTCAACTACAGATCCCCCGAGATTTCTCAGATTTCCATAATCACATAAGCCAACCCCTGTATTTACTTACACATGCGCACATGCACGAGCATGCACACACATACCCCACTCCACCTCTTTTTCTTTAGAGAAGGCCCAGTATATTTTCATTTATTGCTTTAACGGATTATTAGGAATTTGGCAGCTTGAAATAATAGAAATTTATTATAGTTCTAGAGGTCAAAAGAACGATTTGTTTCATAGGGCTAAACTCCAGGTGTCAATATGGCAATTTTCTTCTTGAGGCAATTGGGGTTCTAGAAGCTACTTCATCCCTCTGTCAGTTCCTAGTGGCTCCACAATAGGCTTGTGGCTACCTGCTTCCACTTTTTAAATTTTTTTATTGATTATTTGGGCATCTCACATTATACACCCCAATGGTGCTCAACTCCCTGTCTTCCCATGTCTGTCCCCCACTCCCACCTCTTACTCTGCCTCTAGAAAAAAAACAAATCTACTTTGTGTTGTCCGTATATCACTGGTGCATGGTCAAATTCCCAGTGGCCACCTGCTTCCATTTTTAACAGTGATTTTTAGTCTTTTTTGTTACTGATTGTCTCTTTTGATACTGATTGTCTATCTTCATCATCCAAATTAATCTTAGTTTGTTGAAGGACAGCTGATCAGTAGCTTTAATTGTGTATGTAACCTTAATTTTGAGATTAGAAGCTGATAACCTTTCTGCCTACCTCAATGCCTTCCTCCAACACTGTTGTAATTTTCTTCATAGTACATTTGTCTCCCAATATAGCATACATAATTGGTTACTGCCGATTTCCCTTATTTAAATAAAGAGACCATGAGTTCAAGGGGTTTGTTTTGTTGGCCCCTGTGTCTCAGGCTCTGAGGGTATTATTTGAACCATATAATAAATTGTGGACTAAATTTCTGACTAAAATAATAAGGCTTGCAATTTTGTTAGTAAGCATTCCTGCTTCAAAGAGAAGCCAGGAATTTAAGTAGGAAACCATAAGCTGTGTTTTGCAAAGTACTGTTTTAGGAGACCTAAAACAGTTACACATTCCCCCTTTAAAAGGGCTCTAGGGAAACAGAGACTAAATCCTTCACAATAGCAGTTAAGGGAAAACTTAAATATTGCAAAATTGTCCTGGCAGTCAGGTCTTTTACCAGTTATACCAGCACTGGAAATTTTCTATCAAGATCAGGCCTGGATTACTAACATAGATTTTCCAACTGCTGTCAATCCATATGGTATAGAAAAGTTATTTTTTAAATATTGATTTCACATAATTATTCTGCGCAGTAGTTCTTGTGTTTTTCTTTTTACTATAAAATTCATATATCACAGATAGCAGACATTTAAAGTCTTTTCTAGTACTTGGTGCTAAAATTCTGGCTCCATTCTTCAATTAATTTTATTTTAAACTTTTTTTCCAATAAGCAAATTCACTTCTCTAGAATAAATAAAACTTTTAACTCTTAGTGCAAAATTCAAGATATAAGAAAAAGAAACACAGACACTGAAATCCCTAACAGCAAACATTTATTTACAATCCAAGTTAAGGAATACATATATTTATATGTGTGTGTGTATACATACATACACACATATATATATATATGATTTTTTGAGACAAGATCTTGATATATATATCCCTGGCTGGTCTAGTCCTCCCTATGCAGACAGACTGGCCTCAAACTTGCAGCAATCCTCTTGTCTCTACTTCCCAAATGCTGGGATTATAGGCATGAGCTACCATGCCTGGCTGAGTTACAGAATATTTTTAATGCATGCTGAGAAAACAGTAATACTTCAAACTTACATGTATATATTGGATAATGAAAACAAGAGGATGCTGGGAAGGACTTTGGCATACACAACTATTTAAAGCAGGTTATCAGAACACAAACACCATTAGAATCATGTTATCAGAACACTTACATATATCACCTACGTATATGTTACACCAACTTCATGGACACCCCATCTTCTAACTCCTCACTGGCTATTTGAATAAATAGCATTCAAAGTTAAATGGTAAGACTGGGGAGTAGAGAAGAAATACAGAAGTGTTAAGCATCACAATATTTTAGAGTCTACATTTATGAATACAACAATAAAATTAAGAAATAGTGTTTCAGTTTTAGTGTGTGAAACAATATTCGGCAATGTTTAGCGCATGAGAAGACACTGTTTTGGTCCATCCACTCTTTCCAGCTTTTCAAAGTGTTTCCTGGCATTGCGGATGTTGATCAGAGTA